CAAAGTGGTAAATCTCTGCTTATTTTTATTTCCTCCTTCTAGCAGTGCAGTCAGAGATTGTCTCATTCACTGTTTTTGAATCCTGCAAGCAGAAGTGAAGTGTTCTGTGATTAAGGACAGCTCAGGCTATGTTGGATCCCAAAATATGATATCTGCAGAGAGGGATTTGAGTGGACTTTGCAGAAAGCCATGGGCTATGAGAGTTGGGGAAAAAACCTCAGTTTGAGAAACAAATGAGATACCATCAGATGTTGATTGCCCTGCCCCAGCCCAGAGAGTCCACACCTTGATTTCATCAAACCTCTGCAGAAATCCTATTGTACCTTGTCTCTCCCTTTGTGTTCTCTGAATCCCTGCATCCTGTAGAACCAAATACCTGTTTCCTCCCATAAAATCCCCTCAGATAAAGTGGATTTTTCATCATGAGGTAATTGCTAAGACCCCAAATTTGTTAACCTGTGTTTTCCCCTTATGTCATCCCCTAAAACCCCCTATTTTGTAATAAATTGTAATAATTCCAACCCCCTGTCGAATATGTAAACCCTAAACCCTTTAAAATGAACTTGTTAGTCCAATAAACCATTCCAGTTTCTTGCCTCCCCTGGGATCCCTTAGTTATTGACTCGCTACAAGACTATAGATTTTTCTACCATCCCAAAACCTTGTTTAGTCAGCTGGATGAATTAGAGCTGGTAAGCATGTAGCAGGGCATAAAAGAAACCCTTCATGCTCTGTAACACCAGCCTTGTGGTGCAGTAGGGCTCTGCACAAGGGTGCTAATTTGTCACATGGCATGTCCACAGGCTGCACTGCACAGCCCGGGCTGGATGTGGAAATCTGGACACACAAGGCATTTGCTAGAGGCTCACCATGGCTGAAGGGTTATTATCCATCACCTACAGATCAGTTTTTCTTTCCCAAGGAAAGGAAGAAGAACAGTAGACAGGATCCTGAAAAACAGCATGTCTCTAAACCAAGAGATCAGGTTTCTGTAATTCTCTTCCTTTGTGTTCAGGCATCTGATACCTGGCAATTGCCCTGCTTCTTTGTATGTCCTGGCTGGACCATCTTGTGCTCCTTCTGTACAAAGGGCACAGAGGAATTGAAATCAGTTTTCTCTGGAAACAGATGCCAATAAAAAAACATTGGAGAAAGGCAGACAAGGGAACAAGAAACATCTCATTGGGTTGTTGACAGATGTAGATTGCTGGAGATGGTCCCAATATTCCCCAAAGCCTTTTGTTCTTCTCCTTCACAAACAGCTTCTCCCTTTAAGTTTTTCCTGTGTATGCCCAGGCAAAAACATGGGGGAAGGAGATGAGCTGAGCTCAAATTGGCCTCTAGACTGCTGAAGCCTATGGCATGCCTGCTCTTCCCTGAAAAGAGAGAGTTTCCATTAGGCAGTGAAATAAAAAATGTGAAAGCCCCGTTCCCAGCCAAACAAGTGATTTATCCTCAGCCCCAGTGACTAAAATGTGCTGTTGTGTTTGTCTGTTTTCAGAAGGTATCTTCCTTCGCTTTTATCCCCATGGTATTCCTCACTGTTTCCTCTGTCTTTGTACAGAGTGGCAGGAGGAAGAAACGACAGGGAAAGGATGACAAGCCTTAGCCTAAGCATGCAGTACACAAAGCCTTTCTGCTTCAGTTTATTCCAGAAACGAGATCTATTGGAACCTTCTATCCCCGCAGCACAGTATGGCCATTGCTGGCAACAGGCTGCAGGTTCTGTACTGGGTTTGCAAAGGCTCAGGACTGAGGCCTGGCAAACTTGTTTTGCTTGGACTACTATTGAGTACCTGCTGCTTCATTTCAATTTGATTTAGCTGTAGGAGCACTTTTTTCCTTCTAGTCAGGCAGCTGTGGCTGATTTGATTTACTGTGACCAGCCCTGTATGGTAGAACCATAACTTTATACAGATGGCAGTAAAAAGTAACTCTTCTGTGCACCATGAGGTGTTCACAACTCCAGCTTAACAGAGTTAATCATGGGCCTGGTATGACTGCAGAGGTCTTGAGAAGTGAAAGCACAGGACACAGTGCAAAGGAGTACAAGACCAGTGGGATGGTAGGAGATGGGGCACAGGCTTGACTCTGGAGAAGTCAAAGCTACAAGCAACTCATCTACAGACAGAAATGCAGATACAGAGCTAGATAAAAACGGTTTTAGGAGTAGCAAAGAGGACAAAGAAATAGTATCTTGCATGTATATGATCAATATCTACAGTAAATTTGGGTGTAAAATGGAGTTTCAATCCAGTGAATTAAAATTAAGTTGTAAAAGCATGTTAAAAATCATAAAATTGACCACCAGGAGATTCTAGAGTGAGGAGAAAGAAACCATCACCATCAGCCTCATATTCCTCCTGCTGAACAACCCTAGATGCCTGTGATTCCCTGTAACACCACCACCAGAATGAAACCAGCAACCTTAGGATCCAGATGAGCATGGGCAGGAGCAGTATAACATCAGGAATAAACAGGGATAGAAGATAAGAAGAGTGTGCATAAGAATTTCAAATTATTTTATTATTACTATTATTACTACTACTACTGAAACTTTTTCTGCATGGGAGTATTATTTATTTTTCTGTAATAATTTGACCTGGGCTAATAATTATGTTTTTATGAAAGTGATAAGATTTTAGTTATTCAAACATTCAATACTTGTCTTTATATATAAGGTAATTTTTCCTTTTGCCCCGAAACAATATTTTGAGCCTACCACTGTAAGAAGATTCCTGAATAACTCAGAAACATGCTTTATTTCTCACAGTTTCAAATTAACCAAATCACTTTATGAGCTGAAATCACCATCAAACTGTGAAAAATGCATCTGCCCAGGAGAGGTCTAAATAGCCTCTTGGCCTCAGCTGAAAAGGTAAATGCTGTTCTGGGTAAAATTAGCTTTTGTTTTTCAGTTTTTCCCTTCAAAACTCTTCCTGCTCTCTTCGATGTTCTCTCTATTATTCAAAACTGATTTTATTAATCTTCCGGACTCCACTTTGTCAAAGGGGAAAGCCACAACAAAGACCCTATGAATTAGGAAACATTATTTTTAGCCACAAATAAAAATTCAAAGAAATAAATAGGAACTTCCAAACTCCTAATCTTCTTCCAGTTCCTCGGTAAAAGTTTCCACTTTAATGTCTTCCATTTCTAATGAATCTATGGTGGTTTACAGATGCATTATGCTTGTAATAAAATTCAGAACAACACATTGTCATCAAACAGGTCCCCTCAGCTCTAGCTTTTCCAAACTCCTAAAAAACCGAAACAGGCCAAGGATAGGAGCCAGAACAGCAGGGAGATCTGTGCCATTTGAAACCATGTAGAGGTGAGCAAACCATAAGAAGGACTCCGCAGTTTTTTACTGGGCTTCCTGGGCAGAATTACAGTGTAACCTGTAATTACAGATTACAAGGGCACCTGTAATTACAGATTTTTTCTCATCCTGGACATCCTGGATCTGCAGTGTAGAGGTGATTGCCATAAGCCCAGTGGCCATTCCTGATTCTGGGATGTTAGCTTCACTCTTCATTGGAGACACTTGCAGAATATTTTTCTCTTGAATTGTATGGTCTCTGCAGAAAGTTCAACTCTCTACTCCTCACAGGACTGCTTAAAACTAATCCATACGACTAAGAGCATCATACAGATGCTCCTTGAGCTCTAGCAGGATGGGAGAACAGTTCCATGGGGAGCCTTATCTTAATATCTGCAGCATGTGAGGGTTGCTTAATGGCTATAACCCCTGTGCAAAGACACAGCAACTCCTGGTTCAGTGCCCATCCCAATCCATGAGCTGTTCCGTAAGACTGCGGTCTGTAAAATATGTGTTTTCCCATACTTGCAACATGGAAATAATGAAATCCATGTAATTCCTATGGTATAGTCATGATTAACTGGTAGGAAAAGCCTTGTGAGAGCTTTAGATGAAAGACTGTAGCCACTTAAACACTAATTCACCTCTGTTCTGAGAACCTAAGTCCAAATTCCAAGTGCTTTGGAAGATGTACGAGTTCTAGACCCAGCTTTGTGAGTGGCTTTGGTTTCCTGTTTGCGTGACTCCAAACACCATTTGTAGATGTTCAGATCTGATACTTGAATTCTCTTTAGTCTGAATACACTGAATAAATGTTTGTCTTCTTGCTAAATGAAGAAATAACTCTTGATTTACTGTATTTTCATTGTTCTCCTAAAAATGGTGAGACACCATCTTACTGCAATCTGTTAATTTATAAGATGCATGGAAACCCTCCTTCCTTAGACACAGCTTGAAATAAAGGAGGTTTAGTTCATTTCTTTTAAGTGAATTTAATTTTGGTCAGGTCCTTCTGCCTCATCCAACAGGGATGTGTCTTGCCAGGGTGTTCACAAGTCTGGTTGCTTAATCCCAATTCCCCCCATCCCTGCTTGCTCTAACTCCAGTCCTAGAGCACTGACATCTGAGAAATGCTTAGAGAAAAGCTCCCAACCCACCAACTGGGTCTGGCCATTAACCTTTTGTTTATGCACTTGCTGAGCAGCTCAGAGGCACTTCAGGTATTTCCCTGCTGAACAAAGGCAGGCTATTAAACCCAGCAATATGCTTTATGACTCTGGGCATCATTACTGCACAAGCCATTTGACTCTGCCCTCTGCAGAGATTAATGCTGGGATCTCAAACATCACTAATGCCTTATAGACAATCCATTAACATCAGTGTCTCCTAAGTGGCCAGCCATACCATTATTCACAAAATAGGGATTCCTTCCTAATGCTACTGCTACCAATCCCTTGATTTCCTGAGCATGTAATCATGCGTATTATCAGCCGTGGAGTATTTTACACTGCTACATATTTTTTACTATATAATGAGATGTGTGTGTGTGTGTGAGTGACACACATAAAAAAAAAAAAAAAAAGAAGAATATTGCTATTCCACTTGCTGCAGCGTATGAGCTGATCTGGTTAGACATGAAATGCAGACAGAAATCCGCCTCACCTCTCAAGCTAATTTTAGTCTCTCCCTCTGTTCTCTCTGGCTGTGTGTGTATAAAATCACTCTCAGTCTGACAGCGTTTCAGTAACCTGTGCCATGCACAGAGCGGGATGTACTTACTAACCATCTGCTTGCATGGCACGGGTTAACTGAGCCTGTGGGATTGTGCTTACCTAAACAAAACCACTGCAGTGAGGGGAAAAACAATGAATGGGTGGAGATGATCAGCCCATGCATTCCAGCTAGTGCAGTCCAGGCAGCAATGACAGCCTGAAGGTTGCAGCAGCATCGGGATCGGCATTCCAAGTGCACTGATCTTACAGTCTGGAGTGATTTTGTGTGGAGCTGCTCTTTATTTGCTGAGCCATGGCCAGTAACCAGGCCAGCCTGCAGGATGATCAGAGCAGGCACTGCAAGTTCTTATCCTATATGTTCTACCAGGCTGTGAGAGATCACAAGCCTGTGTGGATGCTGGAAGACATGAGAACTATGGAATATTTTTACTGGGAGGAAAATGCCAGCCTACGAACCTACTCACCTTCAGAAGCCCTTCTCTATGCAGTGGTGCATAATCACCTGCCTTATGCTCAGTATCTGCTGTCTCATTTTCCAGAGGAGGCTCTCAAGGTGCCTGGGGAACACTTCTGCTATTGCCCATCCTCTGCTCCTCATTTGGCCATGGCGGTCACATATGACAGGAGAGATATCTTGGGACTGATCATCAAAATTGCACACAAGCTCCCCAGCTTGAACTCCTACATCAATAGGGCTGGCTGCTTTCATCTGGAAGATGGGAAAACCCCCCTGCACCTTGCCTGTGAACTGCTGAGGTCAGAGACGGTCCTAATCCTCCTTGGGAATGGAGCCTCTCCCAGGATAGAGGACAGTAAAGGGCTTACCCCTCTGGACGTCATCCTGGAGCAGATGTGGGACTCCAAAGTCAATGTCGCATCAAAGAAGCTCTGCCTCGACTACCTCTTGCTCTTCATGCCCAACCCACAGTTTAAGATGAGGAAAGTTCTGCAGGAGCATCCAGACCACTGGACAGCTTTGCTGGGAGAAGACAAATTCAACAGCCTGGTGGGGAACACACCTGCTTCTTTATACCTGCAAGCTATGCAAACTATTCTCCAGACTCTTCCCCCTTCTCACTTCCCTAAAAGCATCCAGGAACTACCTATACCTCAGGCACTAAAGCCCTTACCATCCTATGGCAAAAAGCTACCGACAAAAAATGTGGTAAATGTTTTTCCTTGACTTTATTCGCTGGGTCTTGGATTTTCAAAGGCAACTTAGGGGAGCTGGTCATCCACCACCCCCTGCATTTTAGTGTGATTTTAGTACTTAACCTATTAGGCTATGCTGGAAAATCCAATATTTTGTGACAAGATTTTAAATGTCTTTTCTAACTGATTGCAGGCACAGCACTTTTAAAGGCAAAAGCCTCCCTTGTTCTCTGTTTTGTTGTGCATGTGAAGGGTTAACTGTAGTCGAGACTGTGTTATGTTTGGTTTCTCAACTGTCAACTGCTATCAGTGTATCTGAATTCCCAATATGATAACTCTATCCTGTGTAATGTACCTGGGTAAAAAGGAACATGCTGGGCATGTGGAATTTACCCACACGCTAGTGGGATTTTCAAATGGTGTAACTATGGGACTGTGTTCTGCTAGAGCTGGGAGAAACACCCTTCTCTACCAACAGGGTTCAAACGTCACGTTTCCTTTCTAACAATGATCTAGCGTCATCCAGTAATAACCACAAAGTCCATGGCTGATGCTGCAGGGCAGTAGAGGCAGTCCTGCAGGGTACCTGACTTTACCGAGATACTTTTCAGTAGGTCATGTGGAGGGCATTAGTTCAGAGAGGGGCAGTGAGTGTATATTCCTGGGGGGCTGGGGAATAGAAAGCCACAGAACAGCTGACAGAAAGCATCCTGTCTCACCTGGGAATGAGGGGGTTAAAGACAATCCCAGCCCTGATGTATCCAGTCAAAAACTAAACAATTCCTGGGGAGGAAAGAAACTGGAATGGTTTGTTGGACTTACAAGTTCATTTTAGAGGGTTTACATATTCATCAGGGGGTTGGAATTATTACAATTTATTACAAATAGGAGGTTTTAGGGGATGACATAAAGGGAAAACCCAGGTTAACAAATTTGGGGATTTGGGGGGATTTTACAGGGAGGAAACAGGTATTTGGTTCTACAGGATGCAGGGATTCAGGAACACAATGGGAGAGATATGGTATAAATAAATACGGTATAAATAAACCTTCTGCAGAGGTTTGATGAAATCAAGGTGTGGACTCTGTGGGCTGGGGCAGGGCAATCAACACCTGATGATATCTTGTATGTTTCTCAAACTGAAGTTTTTTTCCCAACTCTCATAGCCCATGGCTTTCTGCAAAGTCCACTCAAATCCCTCTCTGTAGATATCATATTTTGGGATCCAACACTCTGATGCCTCTACAGACCTGTGCAATGGGGAAGGAACCATTTTCCTTGTCGCCCAGTAAACAAATGGCAATTGGAGCAGGGCCAGCGGGAGCCCTGTCCTTCATAACTGACATTATTTCTTCCTGACTTATGTTTCAGAACATATCTCTACAGGAGATGTAGCTCACTGACTTGGTCTCCTAGTGGGTCTCAGAGCCAGCAGCACTAGTTACTCATCCTAAACTGGAGTGTGATGTTCTGCTGTTAAAAGTTGTTACTTGTTGTCAATTAGAGTATTTTTGCCACCCGAGGCCAGACACAGGGCCTGACCCTGGAAATGACAATAAGTTCCCACTGACTGAGCACTGCAGGCAGGGTGTGTTTGCAGAAAGTGGGTTTGGGGCTGCCCAGCCTTCTGGGTAGCTCTGAACCTCACTGCTCAGGCAGAGCCATCTCCGTTCAAGGCACTAGTCCTGCTCTTCTGGCTGTTCTCAGCACCAACGGAGCAGCAGTAGAGCCCCCATTCCCTTTGGGGGACATCCCTTATTTTGGACCCCAGTGTTCTCCTCTCTTTGTAAGTGCAACCCTCTGTTCTGCTGGAGTAGCATAACTCAATTCCCAGATCTGCACTGAGCAGTAGTGAGGAACTTGCTCAGCTGTTCAACTGCACTTGGAGCCAAAGTGAGGCACAAAACCCCTTTAGCAAGACTGGCTAAGAAAGGATGTTTAGTCACATCTCAATTGCTTTGTGCAAAAATGACTCGTGTCTCATCTGGCTAATTCCCTGCCTGTACCAAGGAGGCTGTACTGGACCCTTTTTTTCCATCAGTACAGGGAACACTTCCACTCAGCTTCCTTCTGCAAGGGGTACCTCCTGTATGCCACGTCCAGGTGGAGATTTTGCTGTGGGAATGCGCAACATGTCAGTCACAGCAAACGGGAGCATGCTTTCTGAGACCTTGGGGTGCTCGTCCCAGCCATCCCTTCCCACGTGCTGTAGGAGGACCTCAGTGCTGGTGCCACCTGCGCTAGGCAGGTGAATATCCAGGATTGCTTGTGAGGTGGAGAAAATGTCAAGCCCAGCCCTAAAAGTGGCAAGCAGGCCATGAAGGGGTTAACCCTTCTCCTGAAATCCCACATCCCTGGTGCTGCAGTGTCCTTCTGCCCCTGCCCCTGGGAACTTGAACGTCTTTCTCCATCTGTGTCTATTCCTCCTTGTTCAGTGGGAGAGGCTGTTAACAGGGAAATTCAGGGTCAATCTTCGGTGAGGGTTTTGCAGGGAGGCTGCTCCCTCCGCAGGCTTTGCTGCAGACACAGGCTGTCACAGCTTGGGAAGCAAAGCAGGGCCCAAGGCAGATTTGCATCATAAGCGGTGGCTCAGCTGCTTCTGCCAAGCCCTGCAGGCTCCCAAGCCCTGGAACATACACCCCACCCCTCCCCACAAAAACGTGGAGCTCAAGACAGAGGACAGTGCAGGCGCTCGCTGCCCACGATTGACCAGAGCAACTGTGCAGAGCATGGCCCCTGTGGTACCCCTGGAGTCCAGAGGAGTAGGATTGGGTTTGTTCCCAGTAGCACTGCGGTATCTCATCCGGATGTCAGTGGGTGAGAGGCGGAGGAGGCTGGTGATGGATATTATTAGAATAGTAATTAGGCCCCAAGAGCAGAAATCCCAGGAAAGGAGGGAATGGAAATCATCCACTGTTTTTGTGCTGGCTTGAAACCATGAGAGTTTTGTGCTATAAGGAATTGCAGAAGAGGGAGGGGAAGGCTGTTAGACTTACAAATCCAAGGAGGCAGGTAGGGATTCTTGGCATTAATGGAGAGTACTTTCTAATAAGGCAGGAGGCTGTACTCAGAGAGCCAGAGCAACCCAGTGGGAGCAAGTGAATCTAAAATGGTGCAGGGATCTCTTGTTGGCCATAATAACTGTGGATCATTGCAAAGGTCAGGGATCAGGACCTTCAGGCTTATGGGTGGATTTGTAGCAGACAGTGGGATGCTTGTGTGCATGCATTTATCCATGTGGGAGACTCCCCTCTATTCAACTGCCCAGAGAGAGGATAGAAGATGAATTGTCTTGAGAAGTTTCCTTCTGGGGCATATTTGTGACTGGTACCACAGTCTGGTCCACTGGTGGCCAACATGCAAAAATTCTGGTGTGTTCATCCCAGTGTGAAACAGACAGCTACCAACACAGGAAAGATCACTCCACAACCCCCTCATTTCTCCTTCTCCTGACCATTTTACCAAGAGACCAAGCACTAGATGGCTCTCAGTCATGGAGCTACCCTTGGACCTCCCATGTGCAGTCCCACTGGGCCATAAGTGTTGTGGTGACAACTCTTTCCATTGCCTGTAGCAGTATAATTGCAGGAAGGGTCCTCCTTCTGATGGAATGGGAGAATCTTCTCCCTAAACCCAGTTTGCTTATCTTGTGACGACCGATCTGTTAGTTTGAGATCCTATTTGTCTTCCTGCTCAGTACAGTGACATTACATCAGATATGGCCAAATCTACCTCAGCCCTCCTGTCTGCATTGGTTTTTTTCCCCATTCTTTCCAAGTCAGGTCATTAGCAAAAGTAAACTCAAAATATGTTGCAGACTGCCTGCAATCTGACAGTCTTGAAAAATCCCTATGCTTGCATGAAAAATATGTTGGTGACTTTGTAAATCAAAAAGGGTGCTAGGTGCTGTGTGGTGATGTTTACATTTCGCAGATATGCGTACTGAGTAAGTGTTGCTAAAATCTGTATTTCTGAACAGGGGAAAAGAATAAAAACGACAGAGAAAAGGGGAGAGGGTTAAGTCTTTTCTAATCTTTGGATTACAGGTTGGCTCTGCAGGTTACATCTTTTTAATTTCAATTTTGAGGAGTAGCATTGTAAGGATCTGAGTTGTCTGGGTATGTGTGTGACTACAGTTTTGGTGAGAACCACTTCAGTGGGCACAGCGAGTGACTCGGGGGGTGTGTGTGGCGAGGGAGGGGTTGTGTGGGGGTGTGTGAGTGAAAACGCGTGGGTGCATGTGCGCACAGGGATGTCTGTGTCTGGCTGCCCTCTCCTGGTAAAACCCGTAGCTGACTGACAGCATTTACTGCACTGCTCGTACCCAGCGACCGATGCCTTAAGGAAGCAGCCTTTGCACGAGTTCATTGTGTGTCCCGGGCTCTGTGCTGCTGACAGGTAAGGACATTTCTTCTTCTCTTGTAAAGAGGTAGCAGCTTTGCTCTTGAAATGGGTGTTTCACCCCTGAAAACCAAGCACAAGGGCTTCTGCTTGCCAGCAACTACAATCGTCCAGCGAAGGGTTTGTGACGCTTGCCACATTTTATTCTAGAGTCCATTTTTTTTTTTTTAATAAAATCTATTAAATATACATCTTCATCTTTCTTTTCTCTGGGCTGCCAGCAAAATTCAGCCGCCTGTGACTTCCTAACCATATGCTTCTGTCTATTTTTGCAGCACCATTAGCAGGAAGATTCTGACCTCTGACCTCTTTACACCTGAAGTAACGCTTTTTAAGTCAATTTTATCACTCCTGATGTTTGTTGGTCTAAAGGAAGACAGAAACTGTTTGTGCATTTATGTTGTTTGAGACTCTTCTGACTTCAGCATACAAATAAAAGTGATACTTAATCCCCAAAATAATTTTTTACATTTTTCATACTTTGAATGTATATAGATATATATTTTCCATCTCTCCAATTCTGATGGGCATTTCCCTGTTCCCAGTTTCCTTGGCTTTTTTGGAATCAGCATGGCAGTGACAGATGCTTAAGACCGAATGTTGCCATGCCCAAATACAAATGAATGTTCACTGTATGCTATGACTTTCTTATAAAGCCCTACTTTTGTAATTTTTAGGGGGAAAAAATCTTCACTATAATTGTGTTTGTACATTACTTGCTGCATGATTAAAGATAAATTGTAATGTGCTGGAATAAAGCATATATACATAGCCTGATAATTAGGTATATTAGCTGTGAAAATAATTTAATCTGATTGTATTACTATAATAAACTTGCAATATAAAATTGATGTGTCTTTTATTATACAGTTGGTCAAATCCACCCACGAGTATCTTTTGCATTTGCTTTGGCTCATCTAGTTGTTTGATGATGATTTTTGACTGCTGAGCTATTAGATCCAAAAAATGTGATCGGAGGAAGATAATATTTTCCTTCACAGGCTTGCAGTACCTGGCTGTGCTGTCAGAAGATGACCCCAAGTGACGAGGTGAACTCATACTAATGAGTCAGAAGAAGGGGCTCAACAGGGTGAATGATAATTGGGTTTGGAGATTTCCACTGTTTAGGTTTGAGTTCAGCTCACACAGCTGTTTCCAGCGAACATAACAGTGCTGGTGGCCTGCTCTCCTTGTCTGGTTCGTATTCCATCAACAAGATCCTTTCCTTTCTAGGGTTTTTCTCTGTACAGGAAGATGTCCCAGCAAGGCTTCCAGCACCAACTTCTCCTGTAGACACAGCTGCTGCTGAAGGCCCTCAAGCAGACGTGCACCTTGCACCCTCTGTGCTATCTGTGGGGTAATGATCCACCAGGTTCTGTGCACAAGCTCTGTCACAAACAGCCCCCCAAAGTGTCTCCAGTGATGGGTAGCTGTTTTGGATGATGACAATGATAATCACACAAGTAGATCTCCACCACCAACTGTACCTCCTCAATGCGCCCTAGTACATACAAGCTATAACCCAAGGATAACTCCTCTGAGCCTGTGCTTGCATAGGAAGTTACTGGTTTTATGGAAGAATGCAGAGAGGGGAATTGTTTCTCTGATCTCACTTAAAGAAGCTTTAGACTATCTCCTTGCCTTCATAGTTGGAGACTTAGCCCTGACTATTTCACCACAATGTGGTCCCCAAAGAAAGAAGTTTTCTGGCTTATTTGCTTCCACCTTTCCTGTATTTGAGAAGGAGAATCTGACTGAATTGCTGTCATGCCCTGGCAGCTCTGCTGAGGCTGACAATCAGGGCATTAACGAGCTGCTCTGGCAGCTGAGGGAGTCCCAGGCTGACTCATCCCTCAGAGCCAGTCTCATCTACGTACTGGGTTTTTTACAACTGTAGTTGGCTGGAGCCCATGCACCAGCAGGCAGCAAGACAGGTATTTAAATAGAGCGAGAAATTTAAAGGGTATATGCCCTTGTGTGGGGGGGAAACACTGTCACAAGAAGATGACGCATGGACCGAAATCCTGCCCACACCTAAGTTACTCGAGCGCACCTCCCTGAGTGAGTCACCCCAAACGGAGCTGATAGGCTTGGCATGTCCCATAGTATCTGTGTCTGTCTGTCCAGAACACTAGCAGTGCCTTCTGGGAGCATGCACTGTGCTTTGCTGCAGCACCACACTCAGCTGATAATACGGATGACTGTGCGCAGCCGTTGGGCTTCAGCTCCCAAGATGCCTGCACTTGCCTCCAGCACTTTGGAAGATGCTCTGGAGCCAAGAAGCCAGATTTCTCTGAGGGTGACTCCTAAGGGATTTGGAAAATCTGTCATAATTTTCCAGTCCCAGTTCCAGCTCTAGTAAAGTGTGTTTCCATTTTGCTACGGATCTCCTGTGAAGGGGAATTTTATTGCTAGTCAGAAGGCTTTTGGCGAATCTCATGAGTACATACACAGAGAAGATAGCTGTGCTCTGTACACCAGCTATGCCCACCCACGCAGATTCCCATGAAAAGCTGTGAGGAGGAGGAATGATTATCACAGAGTTGTCAGACTCGCACAAGGAAACTTGGGAGAAAGGAAGAAAAGGGTTGGAACAGGCAGTATGGCAAGATGCCTTGTGGGAAGCAGATCCTACAGTTGAACAGAAATAGGGAAAATAGTCTGGAGAATCCCAAACCACAGTACAAGCTATGAGAAGCACAGTAACACAGAAACCACTCCCTGCCACCTCCTCCTAGAGCTTGGCTTCAGGATCACAGAGGATGTCAGGAACCAGTTTCAAAACTGAGGCAATGTAATGCCCTCGCTGTCTCCATTCTGGAGATACTGTCATGAAGTCTGCAAGCTGGTGTAAGCAGGCACTGGCATAAGCAACTCAGAGACACAGGTCCAATCTGTTGCTGCCTCCCTGATCCCTACTCCTGCCCCCAACCAAGCAAGTCCCAGCAAAGCTGGGTCATGGTGCTGTCCCACCAGTGCTGGTGCTGCCCAAGGGGACACAGGGTCTGGTAACGGGAATGAGCAACCAGGCAGGTGGTACTGCTCCTTTCTAAGGTTGCTTTTAACTCCAGCAGTAGAACACCTTGTTCTTTGACGCAGAATTAAACAGGGAAGATCTCCACTAATGTTGAACAAAGCCCCTCTCTGTAATGCTGTACATTGTGTGCACATAAGAAATATCTTAACTGTCTCCTGAATTAGAGCAAACCTGGTATGTTTAAAACAGTGAAGGCTTCTGAAATGGGTGAAGAAGAGGCTGACAAGCATTAGAAAAGGAAATAATCATCAGGGATGACTGGGAATCGATGTTTCTATGCCACCAAAACGGACAATATTGCAAAATACACTTTGTTTCTGATTCAGAATGAAAATTCAAAATATCAAAATTTATATGAACACAGTTTTACACGGGAGAAAAATGACCCAGATCTATCAAAATAATTGCTAAAGAATAGCAAAATTTTTACAACGTTGCAATACTTTGCTTTTTTATTTTTAATAATGTTAAAGCACTAAAAATAATTAAAATATTATCAAAACAAACTCTTCTGATAGCTGAAAGTCTTTGTTCAGATTTTCTTCTACCAGAAATTTTGACAAAATAGGAACATAAACGTCACACTGTGGGGTCCTCCCATCTCTAGCACTGTCAAGGTAAAGAGAGCACCTTTGCCTGGTCACTTTCTGCAACGCATTCCCTACTTACTCCCTCAGTACCCACAGCTGTTGGATTGGGAATGTTCGAGGGTATACCCTTGCCTAGTCCTGCAGTATTCATCTTTTGACCAAATTTGTCTAGTTTTTCTTTGAGCCTGTTGCTACTGTCACATCCACAGCACCGTACAGCAGCAATTTACATTTATCTGCACCAAAGCCCGTCTGCCACTTATTTTTCCCACACTTTAGTGAGGTCCTTCAGGTGCCTCCTGCTATCTCTGTGGTGTTTGCACACTTGAAAAACACCAGTACCATTGCGAACACAGAACTATCACTATTCATTCATTTCTCCAGTCGTAGGTTATATCTCAAACAAAACTGGGTCCAACACTGATCTCCAGGAGACCCCACTGTTGACTCTTCATGCTGACCACTAAATCCTACCCTTTGCCATCCTGTAACCAGCTCTCACTCCACGAAGTAACTCCTGTGATCCCATGACAGCTTCATTTCTTTGAAGGCCTGTGGCGTGGAACCTTGCCCACAGCTTTTTGAGAATCCAAATACATTACGCTCACTGGATCTCCCCTTTATTTTCTCTCCTTTTAAATTAGAAAAGTAATTTTACAAACAATTCAAGTTTTATGAAAGTAAATTTTGCAGTAAAATATGTTATGACAGGAGACAGCAAAATTAAAAAGGTTTGTCTGTCAGAAGGACCTAAAGATTTTTATAAATTGTGCAGTCTGCTTACAGAAGTGTCTCCCCAGCATGCAAGTGTAGTCCCATGTAGTGTCTGGGGAAACCCAGACACTATTTTTTAGAAGTCACTTCTGATTTTGAGGCTTTGACTGAAGCTGAAAATGAGCAACTACAGAACAAAAATCCCTGTTCTTCTGCCTGGAAGGTGTTAGGCAGTGACACTGTAAGTAGTCTCTTTTTCAGAGTTTACAGATCTTAGGGAGATGCTATTTTCAGCTGTGATACATATATTTTCAGACACTAAACTTCTCACCAATACAGTTGACTGTTTGATCAAATGGGGTTTTTTATGGGACTCCTTCTCTGGGTAGAACTGAGCTTTGGTGATAGCTACAGCCTTTGGCTCACTTTTCCACCAGCCAGCAGGTCCGGTATGGTGACAGACAGAGATAAAATTACATTCCATGCATAATTTGGGATTTAATGAAAGGAAAGCCAAAATTATAAGAAGAAAGAGCTCTGCCTAAACCGAGCTTCTGCTTAAAGGTGTGTTTCCTAAGCACTCAAATTCACATGCTTACTTAGACAGGCTCACTCCGATCTGGTGAGCTTCAGGAAGGTGTAAGGTACGGTAAGTTACCCAAATTTGGGATCAGGGAGGCTGAGGATAGCTTTCCCACAAAATTATCCAGCTCTCCTTTTGCAGAATTAACAGATTCTAGAAGCAGATTGGTGCCTTGTGTTCTATTGAAAACATGAACCGGGTTTCCAACACACATCATCATCATCACTTCAAGCAAAAAACCCATCAATTAAATAACAAAGTCCAAACCTAGACCTCTCCATGCCCATTCTTATCCCCCTTTTGCAGATGTTTAGACCTGAGGAACCCCTTCCATCCTGGCCTGAGCTTTTGCCCCCATTGACTTGCAGGGGATGAACACCCAAATTTAAAGCTCTTAAAATACTGCACATGATATACAGCATGCAGCACGAATGCACATGCAAGCACCATGCCTGATGTGAAAGAAGATGTTCTGTGTGAGTCTTACTTATTTTTTAGAGTAAAAAGACCCTGCCTCAGCCAGGCAGGACTCCGTGACTGAATCCCTGGTGCCAGCCTGCCAGGTTTTGCCAAGCCTCCCTGCTGGACCTGTCAGTGCAACTGCTCTAAGATTCAGGCACGCAAATCCTTACCTTTAAGAGCAGGTCAGACTCTAAATATGCAACTGCAGCTTTAGTTTGTAGTAGCTACTGCTTCTATTGTCCATGTGGATTTTTATCCTATCCTCAATAACATCTAGAGACTGCTGAACCTGGGAGAACTGCTAATGATATGCTCTCACCAGTTAAAAAGAAGGGGGGGGGGCGGGGGAGAAGAATTTATTTTAAAATAAAAACCCCGTGTTTAAGCTTTACATTTCAAACATTTGAAGTGGTTTTTCTTCTTCTTTTATTCCTGCAGCGTTGCCTGAAAGGCCAGTCTTGCCTGGCTATTGTCTGCTTCCCTGCACGGCTCCCTGTGCTTTGGCAGTCAGTCCTGAAATCGCCACAGCTTTCAAGTGGATGCCTCGTCCAAAGAGAGACCTTTTATTCCGCCTCCCCTCATCATCAGTCGCACATGAGCCCTGTGGGGCTTTTGAACTGGAACACCACCGTTTATCAGAAGCGAAAATAAAGACTGCAACTCATAAAATGAAGGACTCTCAGCTGGGCAAGGCAGGATGGGAATAAAAAGGGATTACTGACAGCCCGCCCTTCTCCCAGGCGCGCCTTGGCTTGTCAGCTGCCAGAGCTGCGGCGCGGGGGGGGAGTCAAAAACGGCTTCGTACACCTGTGCAGCTGCTGCCCGCGATCATTTCCACTCATCGCCTTTGCCTTGTTTTTGTTTTTGTTTTTGTTTTTTTAAATTCCTTTTTTTTACGACTCTTTTCACACTTTCAGAGCGAAGGGCACCCCCGAGGGCCGGGCCGGGCCGCGGTGCCGCCGCCGGCCGCGAGATGGCGCCGCCGCTCTTCGGCCGCCGTGAGGGACCGCGGGCCGGGAGTGGGGGTCCGAAAACGTGGAACGTGTGAAAATATTCCTAAGAAACACTAATCAACACAATCAACACAGTAATCAACAACAACAGCAAAAAAGGTATTTATTCTTTGAAACAGAGAGCTGCTGAGAAGTAAGCTCTAAGTGATGTCCAGGTGTTAGAAAGACAAATTAGTTGTTGGTGGAATTGCCTTGTTAAAGGGCCTTGACATGTTTCAGTGATCTCAGACCAAGTGGGAGGTTAACTGAACTGGAGGAGAAGGGTGTACCGCTGATAGTGGGTGCAAAGAATGCAGAGTTTATGGGCCACAAGGACATTTGGCAGAACTTCCCAGAGAAGGAAGAAAACTCATAAAGGCAACGCAGCAACCATGCTGAATCAGCTCCGACTGGGTAAAAAAGGTAATTCCAGCAGGGGAATCATGACCACTGACTCATGGACGACCAACCCAAAAAACCCACTGACCCAAAAGAAGAGGAAGACTGAGGGTGTGAAATAATTAGCATCAGAAGCGAGAGAACCATTAACCAATAGAAGATAGAATACTGATTAATAAAAGAACTGTGTGACTTGTAACCAGTGAACGTTAATGCCTTTGACTGCTAAAATGTATAAATAATAAAAAGTTTTAATAATTGGCTTTCTGGACTTGTGGAATACCACTGAGCACTGAGGCTTGTGCAACTCTGAAATAATGTCTCTCTAGGGTGTGTAATTACTGGCTTGTGGAACACTGGGTAACAAAAATCCAATTATTGTGGACAACAAGATGACCCCGGGGCTGTGAGGGGACCCCACCGCTGTGGGGGGACCCTGGGGTGGTGAGGGAACCCACCACCACCAGCTGCCCCTCACTGTGTCTGGCTGGTGAGGACAGCACCGCCTTTGGATACAGTGTCCAAACCAAACCCAAATAAGCAAAACCAGCTGCAGGAAGGTGGTGTAGGTGCCTTTACTGTCAGCCTCCAAAGGTTTGGGGCTCATTCCGTGACAGAAGGGCCTCAGGTTCACTGAAAGTTGACCCTGAAGCTGGACTCCAAACGAAGAGCTACAGAAAGAAGCAAGTTGTTTTGCACAAGGCTTGTAGGGTCACAGGGCAGAGATGAGTCTCAGCCCTGAGGAGCAGGCAGATATTTTCCATCCTCTCTTCTGCCTCCAAGGGACAGAAGAAGCTGTGGTGGCTGAAGCTGGCTGAGGGCAGCTGAGAGGCTCCATATTTGTGTTGAGCAAAGTATGTAGAATGCAGGGATTTGATGCAGCCCTGCTGGTACACTGCTCCTGTGCAAAAAAGCTCATTAAATGGAGGAGTTGGCAGTGGTGGAGCTGCAAGAGCCACCATTTCCCCCTTTCCCAGGAGGAGGCTGACTGTGGCAGGAGGTAGAGGAAGGCATTTCCACTGTGACTGGGCAAGGAGCCTGTCTGCGCAGTTGTCACCTCCTGTGGAAGGCAGAGCATTGTTGAGAATGTTGAGAACCTGTCAGGAAACAAGGGAAGGTACTGCCAAAGCTGTGTTTCTGGCACATTTGATTAAATCTCACATAGCTCCCCAGACATTCCTAGCAGGCCCAATAGCCTGAAGTCTCAGCTAAAAAAAAAAATCAATCTACCTTTCTGGAGTCATCTCCCTCTGATCTGGGGGTCTGTCCCTTTATTTTCACTCGTCTCTGCCTCAAGGCTAATCAGCAGAGCTTGAAAGGCAATAACAAATTGGTTAAAAATCAGCTTTATATGCAAAGCCTAAAATAAAACATCTGTATATATCCCAGAAGCCTTCACAACCTCCTGTTTTATTAGTATCTCTAAAATAACTTTTCTTTCCTGACTCTAATTCCAGCCAGAAGCACTCAGATAATCCTCATAGGACTGTTATGTGTATTTCCAATTAAGCAATTTATAAGCACTGGCTGTGAGGAGCTTTTTGTTCTTAAGGAAATTATTTCTTCATTAAGAGTAAAACAAGTCTTTTTTTATCCCTGCTTTATATGAAAGCCCTTGTGCCCCCTTCACATATGGTTTAAGTACTGAACTATGTAGAAGGAGATTAATCATTTTGTATCCCAACAAGCAGGCAAGGCACAGCAGCTGGGTCAGCCGCACAGGGAATAGGCATTTCAGTGTTTGTTTTCAGAGAGAAGTAAAAGTCAGACAGACAGACACTTTCAAGCTACTTGCCTTTGCCAGAGGCAACCCACACAATCACGAGCCCTTCTGGAGTCTGAGTCATGAAGAACTGCCACAGAAAAAATGAAGACAGTCAAGAGGGAAAAAAAAAAATCCCATTCATGCCCAGCTAATGAGTAGAAGTTCCAAATTGCCTCTTGTTTTCCAGGCTGTGTACCTTAATTAGATGAATCACAGAACACTCAGGGTGGAAATCACAGGCCAGAGAGCTCATAAGAGACCACTTCATTCTTTCACACTAGCAGCATTATCTACCTCCCCTCCAGGGAATAATGTCCCTCCATTTTCTCGGGCAGCAAAGTCTCCTGGCATGAGGCGTGGACAAGCATGGAAAATGAAGAGCAGAAATGATGTGTGATTGACTTGAGCTAGTAGCACAAGCATTCTATTCCTGTTTTTCTCTCCAAATCCAGCTGTTTACACTCTCTGTAAAGGCACTTACCAGCCTACCTTCTGGCCAAGGTCAGACCTATGGCCAAACAGCATGAGCTGCACTGAGCAGCAATATGGGGGACCAACTTCAAAGTGAGGGCACACTTGCAAGCATTAGGAATTGACTCATCAGGAAACCTTCTGATGTGGTAACAGGAAAGCATTATGAGCCTTGGGTGTTCCTGGGACTCTGGAAAGAAACCCCATGTTAGTGACATAAGTAAAGTGCCTTCCCTTCATCCTTCTCCAAGCCCAATTAGAAGGGGACAGACTAACAACGGGATAGCTCCAGAATGGTTAAGATTTATATCTAGTATCTGCTTACAGTGACAACTGTGGAGACATAGAGGAACTGACAACGAAATGCAGTTAGTACAGTAAGTAAACAGCTAACCTATAGAAAAGAGATCAATAATTGCAGCATGTAAGCCTGTGCCAATGCTTAACTTGCACAGGGTCACTGGAAAATGTGTCATGTATTCCATCAGAACCAGCAGCCCCATGTCTTTTTCCCGGGAATGGATGTGTAAAATGACTGATGAATGAAGCTAGAAGTGGTGAGTTCAACTGTACGGTTCAGTGTAGACATCATATAATTCAGTGAAGAAATGATGAGTTTAGAATTATCTTAAAACCTTGAGGTTTCTTTCTCAGTCTCTGCATATGATGCCATGCTCAGTAAAACCATTCATCATGTCCCTTTCTGTTACTGGATGGTTTTTTTTTCAGAAGCACATGGAAGAAATGTCTGGCTGTAGTTCCCTCAGCAAGCCCAGTGGTACTGTGGTTTTTGGTTGTTCTGGTAATATGATGTTGCTTTCTGTCTTACAGGGAAATAGGTTTTGATGAGGTATTTGAAGGACAGCGGGCTAATATGTGACATTGTGCATTGGCTCCTGGGACAGAGACAGCTCTACTAGCAAATGCAGAGTCAAAAAAAAAGGCACTTATGTCAGGGTAGCAGGAGAGAAAGGAAGAGGATAGAGTGACAAACAAGTCATACTTGGTGCTCAGAGTCAACAATGCCATCAAAATGGAGGGGAGAACAGCAAAATAAATGTTAGAAAAAGATAATCAGGTTGTTAAAGGGAAGCAGAAATGTGCAGAAAGGACCATTGGTGTTTAAGTATAGCCTAAGGTACGAAGAGTATAGAGAGCAACCAGAGCTGTCTGGCTACTCACCTGAAGTAAAAGGGATATGGCAGCATCTCAGTTATAAAAACTGAGACAAGAGAACTAGAGGAGGCAGTCAAAGAGAAAGATCAGGATTTAATTTTCTTGGTGTTCAGTCAGCAAGAGACGTGGGGGTGGCAATATTGCCAAAGCAAAGCTGAGCTGAGGGAAATAGATTAGAAGTGGTGAGTCAGATGTGTGATCTCATGGTTGCACAGCTGATATTTGAAGCTGCAGGAAGTTTGAGGATCACAGGAACCTTCTAGGGGGCATTTTTTCCTGGGTTTTACAACTCAGATCCCATCAAACACACTGCTCAACAACACTTAGTCACCACAAACCTGCAAGAGCATGTCAGAGCCAGAGAAGTGAAAGGCACAGCAGTGGCTGGATGTGGAGCTGCAGGAATATTCCTTGGATAAGGGTAGGAGTTTGAGAGAATATCCCTCTTAAATTTAGATCTTCACTGAAGATCTCACCCCTCAGGGAAATCTTTAGTGAGTAAAGGTTTAGGACATGTGTATCAGCTGCTGTAAAGTCTCTTTTGTGGCCAATCCAGGCAGTTCCAAACTGAGTGGTGTGTAACAACACAGACCATGGAGGCATGAGTCCTATTTCTGTCTGTGATTGCATGCATTAGAACAATTTTCTTTAAACAGCTTATCTTTGTCTGCCTTCAGTGATACCATTGCAATCTCTTGTGGTATCGAAATGCATTTTTCTCCCCTCACTAGAGCTTTTGTGGAAAGGGAACCACTTTGTGATATCTCCTTGATTTTTACGTACCTGCCTTAGTGACTGTGATAGCAACATTCTCCTCTATTGCTCTGGAAACTAGCTTTACATGCACTGTTTCATCTGCTCCCTAATTCTTCCACTGGGGCACTAAATCTGGACTAAGCTGAAATACTAGGACAATAATTCTTAATCCACTGTGGAACATTAACTGAGTGTTAAGACAGCGATTTGCTGTATATTATGAACGTGGCTCCATTTCGTTTCCTCTCTGGAGATGCTGATTCACTGATGGAGTGATGTTCTTCCAGGCAAGAAAAGATTAAATAGAGACAACAGACTCAGAAGTAATAAATAAGGCTGTAGAACAAAACTGCCTGATATTATATTATTTTAGAAGCTGTATATAATCATGTCATCAAAGATGTGCTGTGAGGCACACACGCAAGGGAGCAGA